TTACTCAGGGGCACCCAACGTCAATTTTCGGAAAATGTCTGTTCGGAAGACGATTTGAGATCTAGATTTTTCGGAACATTTGTTGTAAAATTTCTTGCTTGCTTGCCTCTCCTAGGATTTTCAATTCGAACATCTAAAAAATGGTATAATTGCCCATGTTTAACGGATTTTTACCCTAAAGAGGTCACCTAGGATTTTAGGGAGCCTTTTTTCTGGCTGAAATTTTCGAAAAGGCAAGTTTTGATCCCTATAATTTTCGTATCACTAGACTTTCAGCTAGGAAATCCGAACAGATGAAAAATTTTTTGGGGATAAAAATATGCCTGTATCTACCGTTTAAATGCTAAAATACGTTCAACAATGCTATGTTTAAGTGGGTTTGAACTATATTCTCGTTGGGTGCCCCTGATTAGTAGCAAGCAAACTACTCTAGCTAATGAATAATCCTAATTTGCCACAAAATATGTTATAATTTTTGTTTACTAGATGTGTTCATGATGAGTTGCTACTATACGTGGACCACTGTTCAAACATTAAGAACTGGTCAGGGCAAGAAGGAAAGCATCGCCGCAGTATCGTGAATTGAGTCTGGGCGAATCCTCGAACGCGACATTAATCAGATGGTGGTCGTGATGGTGGTCGTGAAGAGTGAATTCGAAATGGTAAAGTTAAAAATAATCCTATCTTCAACACTTGATTAGTTAACACGAACTAAAAATATAAAAGTAATTTGTGTTCAACACTGAACGGCACAAGCCCCATCAGTGATGATTTAATAGTAAGCAAGAACAAGTGACGCGTAAAGAGACAAATCAGCGATTTGAAAGTGCTTGAGCTTCAGCAAAACCAGAAAGAGTATCGCTTTGACACTTCAAATACAACTCAAGTATTTTCAAGGGATAATGGCTCCTTTACATCACACTATTTATAGAGACTTTGAAAACCGGAATGTATTTTCTTAATTCACGGAGGAGTTAAGTTTTTAAAAACGTTTTGCTTGACTAGAAGAATAAGTAAGCCGAATACACGTAGACCCTGCCACGGTTTTCTTTAAGTTTCCATCAAGACCTGAGTGCTGAAAGAGCGTATTCAACTTTATAGTCAACTTACCAAGCCAATATGGTGATAGGTCCAAAGAGAGTGAAATATTACTGCCCGAAGTCCTCAAATTTTACAGACTGTTTATCAAGCTTGCCTTCACCATACAAACGTCTGTAAAATCCGTTAGTTTTCAGCAAATCTCTTTCAAACTTAGCAACTTTTCTTATTTTAAGGCGATCGTTTTTTTTTTCAGCCGTGTCGACGGATTTTCGCTATTAATACTGGCCTTATTCAAAAGTTGAAAACACCATGGAAGAGTATATAAGAAAATGCGCGGCCATGTTGAATTTCTGTCGGATTTTAGGTCATCTGCGAGAATTTATGCTTGGTGTATCACAAAAGGAAAGCAACTTGAGATACTCAATCTAAGCTGTGATATTATATATCAGCTATATCCGAGGTTATATAAAAATAATTATACAATAGAACTTTGACATAAAATACGCGAATGACATCAGTTTAATTTCAGTAAAGGCTGTATTGGTTACGAATGCTGTAGCAGACCTCTAGGAACAAATTTATAGAATAAAATGATATCAAAGAGAACTTGAATTGGGTGCATCGATTACCTAACAGCCTAATATTTCCGTAAGCGAATGAAATTGTTTAACAGAAATTTAAAAAGTACTAGGTTTGCCCATTTCGTAGGCATGTTTCGACGATCAAACAAAGAAATTCTGTCATTCAGTCACTAGCAGTTGAGTGTTGGTATGTACGAAGCTCTTTTCTTTTGATCTCGCGTTACTGAAACTATGCTTTTTGATTCACTGTTATAGTATATTATTTTACAGTTTCCTCTCGTCTCTTTCATGAAGACAGGTTACAGTTAAGGAATGAAACACAACAAACAAGGTAAATCACATATACGCCACAAGTGCACTTATCCGGCCTTACGCCCATAGAGTAATGAGTGTTGTCTCCCAAACATATCAGTTCCAAGTACACGATTCAGCCTAGGAATAACTCTTCAATACACAGAACGATTTAAGGTACGATGTCAAAGAAGCACTAGCAATCATTCACGGTACAAAAAAGAAAGGATTTTTAGTGTCCATTGATTAGTATAAGACTTGATTCATGTTTAGCTTCTTTATCGAACAATTCTGAGTATAGTTCAAAATGGCTACTGAAAAAAATGTTTCTTATTAGGATATACTGTTGTGTTTACCTCCGCAAAGAGAAATTTGGGTGTGGGTAATTCTGTGCTTTATTCTGGATATAGAGAAATGAATGTCGAAGAACTGAATTGCAGTTCGCTTGGAGTTTCGATAATATTGTTTAGAAAATCCTAATTCAAACAACGACAGCGTTTCGATTATGCTAAGACTCGCTCCTGCAAACTGTCCACAGTTTAACTTATTTCCCACTGCACAAAAAGGTAATGAGCTGACGGCCATCGTCGTAAAGCTAGAAGATCGACTCAAATTTCCAGCGGTTTAAGAACAAAATTTGGCTATACGAAGGGATAGATTCTAACTGAATGTAATAAAAATTATAATAAATACAATAAATGATGTTGTCGCTGGTAGATTCTCGACCATGGAACAAAAGCATGATCTGCACAGGAACTCACTACTGAAAACACAAACCACGAATTTCCTCATGTTGAGCCAAAAGAACCAATTAAAATGCTCGACGTCTTTTACGCGTGAAATGTACTGATTGGGGCATTCTTTCGTTGAAACTTGTTTTAACAACGTGAAAAGTTAAGTAATTATTGCAGAGAGATAAATTAATCTGTCACGATAATCAATGCTATCATTTGGCTTTGGAAATCGTGAAACGAAGGTAAGTTAATACTAAAAGACACTGTAAATTCACGTAAAAAGAACAAAAATTTGAAATGAAAAAAATCCATAGGTTTCAAGTCGTTCATTTTTCCAAGGCACCCAAGGCACCTTTAGAGATGAGATATAAATTATATCTTACGTTAACCTGAGATCAGGCCCAATTTGAGCGGTTCTCATATATTCTCTCTAACGGCTACCGCTGAAATTGGGCCTGATACAAACTATTACAAGTTTGTGCTCGTTGCGGCCAGATTTTGGCCGTAACGCTGATTGGCTGTTAGAACAATGCCACAAGATCTGATTGGCTGTCGGAAACGCCGGAAGTTGGAAGCGCTTATTCCTCGCGTGGTTGTTTTCGTGAATAATCCGTCGTCGGTGGAGAGAAGGATCGATTTTGCTGTCTTTTTTATTGTTTTATGGTCTTATGTTAGGAAAATATGCCTTAATATGTGCCATGGAAATTCAGAAAATTCATGTGGTTGTTCATATCTTCTCAGGGTTTGCTTTATTTACGGAAAGTGAGTGTAACGCGGAGTTGAATCCCTCTGCAAGTTGTTGACCGCTAACAAGGTGCATTTTGATTTACCAACAAACGGGTGCAAATCAAAATACTGTCCATCTTAAAACTGGTTTCATTTGAAAGTTTAGCCGGGAATGACTTCTCTGAACGGGGTACGCAAGCGGTACACCAACTGTGAAGTATTAGACGAAAAATATCGCATCGCTGTTTAAGGAATTTTCAGTTTTCACGGATCGCTCGTTGGCTGTTTGCTTTTGTTTTTAAAGATTTATGTACTGAAAATCGGGGGAAATTGCCGAGGAAAATATCAAGACAACGGAAAAATAGAGATTTCAGTATTTTAAATTCCAGAGCGCCTAGCCAAAATAATAAAACTAGTAGAACATCGTGTCGCCGTCTTTTCGAAAACTTTTTACCTTTTACGACAACAGAAGTAACCTTCGAGATCTCCCTTAATCTCGCAAGAAGTTAAATGTAATGGTGCTGACTGTTTTATTTTTAGCTGAAAAAATTAACAGATAAAAGCTATTTTTTAAGTCAGCCAGTCTGCATTTTTCCCACGCGTGAAAAATTTGCATACTAGAAAAACAAGCAACGGAAGTAATTCTGATTAGCTGATTCGGCAAATGTCAATCAATCAAAAAAGTGGGCGGCAGACATTTCGTTAAAGGTTTGTACTCAGGCTATCTTTTCGTTTCGCCTTGCCCGCCGGAATGTAATTTTCAAAGCGAAACGAAAATAGAGCCTGATCTCAGGTTAATCTTACGTGTTTTTTGTTTTTGTTTTAACTAATCGAATTTTTTTATTATATCATGATAAAACCAGGATAAAACATTTAGTGGACAATCAAGTTGGAGGACCTTAATGGTGCGATCACAAGTTAAAATGCCCATCATGTTGTTTGTTTTATCGCTCATGGCGGCTTTCTGCTCTGCTAAGGATAACAAACCACCAGACATCAAGGTAACTGCATTTATACTTATGGCCACTACACATATTTTTTATTCCAGTTGATAAGGTTAGTTTATGGATAAAATTAGGAAGTTGCGTATCCTATGTGAATGGTACTATATCAGTCTTCAGCTTGAAAGGGAAATGTTCCAAATTCAGAAATAATATTAGGCGGTATGATTATTTGCAAAAAAGATCCATCGGTATTTTAAGGAGAGAAAAATCATTTTCAGTTTCAAAATAATCAAAAGCGGACGCATCAAAGAAACCCAAATTAAAACTCGCAAATTTACGGGAAAATTAGTATTTACTTCCTCTCCTGGATTGAAACTCTAGATGACAGATTCTCTCGATCTTTAGCAGCCTGATCCACCTTGTAATGGTGGACAAACCGGGATGTGGACATACATGACATGTGTCCCAGGAGCCCCCGGGGCGCCAGTTCGTGATGGAACTAAAGGAGACCTGGGCAGCCCGGGGAAAAATGGGACCCAGGGACCACGTGGTGCTGACGGAAAGAAAGGAGCAAAGGGAGAGGCTGGGATCCAGGGTTCTCCCGGCCAAAAAGGAGAGCGAGGGGACAAAGGCGACAGCGGAACGCCGCGGCTGGCTTCACACATGAACTGGGAGTGAAAACAATGAAAACAATGAAAACAATGAAACATGAAGTAGAGTGTGCTTGGAGAAAGAGAGACGATAACAATACAGGACTGATATATGTAAGTGAACAAGTCACTTAATTGTTACCAGATAACCAGAGTCAAAAAGTACTTTATTAGTTCAAACCAAATAATTATCATACTGTGAAAATAACGAAACAAATAATTGTCATACTGCACAGAAGCTATTTTGATTCTTTATATCTCGTTTAGAACTGTGACTTTGTGAAGAAATACCCAGACACTTCCCTACATGTCTACTTTGCCGGTGATCTCAGGATTGCCTCATGTGACAACTGCTGCAGTCGCTGGTATTTCACCTTTAATGGAACGGAGTGCAGCTCTCCTGGAACTATTGACGGTGCATTCTACATGGGAAGAGGAAAAAACCACAATCTTCACCGTCACCGCCCCATTGAGGGTCACTGCAACAACATTCAGAAAGGAAAGGTGCAAGTGGGATTTTGGGTTGGAAAGTGCGTCACAGGCCATAAGCTTACTGAGTAAGCTTACTGAGTACCAAAAGCTCAGCAGTAAGCTCGAGTCATGTGATTATCTGGACTTTGAAAATTACTATTAAATCTGTATTAGTATTGTAAAGAATAAAGAAGTCCAGAAGCATTGAAACTTAAATGTTTTTAACTATTTGTTAGATTCGCCAAAGAACTAATGACAAACAATCATACTTCATCATCATCATCATCAGTAGTTTTGTCGCGCTAGTAGGCGCACAAGCCCTTCACGCTGTCTGACCAAAACTTTCTGTCTCGTGCCACCACTTTGACTGCTTTCCACAGCTTTCACCGGCTTTGGTTCTTTCAATGACATGCTTACCTCATGCATTTTTCCCTTTGGCCTCCCAAAGAGCAATTCCTTCCTTTTTTCAGTTTATAGAAACGATGCTACTAGTGGTGTGGCCAAAGTACTCAGGGACCTAAAGGAAGTACTCGGCGAACCCGAGTCACGCTCTACAAACCTTGCCGATAAGTTAACCTATGTCAGTCTTCGTGGAAATAATTATAGTCCCCGTGGCTGGGTAGGAGGGGGGGGGGGGGGGGAGGGAAAAGAGAATTTTTCAGTCCTGCACCGCACCATCACCCCGCGAGTCAAGGGAACTTACAAACATAATTCTTCTCATTTTTCTTTCGCCGTGAGCGGGACCTTTGCTAGCAAAGAAACCATTGACTATTTTCGAATAACCCATAATACACTCTGTTTGTCTCCCAAATTCGTCCTAAGTTATTGTTTTCACATGCACTAAGAAAATGGAATATGCAATCCTCTCATTTGGGAGGGGAGTGGGGAGAGGGGCAAACAGAGTGTATTATTGGGGATTCAAAAAAAGAAAAAAGAGGCAAACCAGAGTAGGGACAAACCAGTGTTTTAGCCCGCATGGACGGGCAAATAAACTGCTTCCATCGTCAAGCCGCATTTCATATAAATTTGGTACTTTTAAAATAACAAACTTTAGGTACTCACATAGGAAATAATTAAACTTAAGTTCAGTTCACAAGTGGTCGTATAGTACTGGCGTTTCCTCCTTTCCACCAGGCCTTCTCGCTCGTACGTGACTCGAAAAGCATAGGCTGCGCCCAGCATGGCCCAGGGACGAGGCAAGTGCTGACGGCTTTTGTGGTGTGCTCGATTTTAGCTGTTAGGTGTCCATCATTTGGTTCACTTATTAAAATGACCTGGGCCCTGCCTCGTACCCAGACGTCTCTCTTTCGACCAAAGTAAAAACTTGCAAGAGGTGACAGGCCGCACATCTTCACCGGCGTAAAACCTTTGAAACCTTTTATATATTGCTCCATTGAGGAGACTTCTTTCAGGGATCTTACAGTTTAAAATTTGAACGATGATATCGCTTCTATATAGCGGACCAAGATACGGCTCGGTACAGTTTTTGTTCAGCAAGGGAAAATTGTGTAAGTTGAGCAGAACTTTTAAAATGTTCAACAGACAATTTATTCAGTTCGCGCGTATTCCTGTTGAATTTGTAGCCCGTTTATCAGATATGTCTACTCAAAAATATAATAATTTTTCCATAGCTGCTGTTATCTTAGAGTAACTGCTTTTCATATCTCCGTAAAGGAAGGCGGGAAGGAGACAACGGGCGATACGGCGCTTCGCCCGCCGTCTGTACCCTTCCCATGGTCCCTTGCGGCTCGTCACCAGCCGCTCGCCTCTGCCTTCCGAAAAACGAAGCGCCTGAGGAGGAGGCTGACCTGGGACTATGCTGCAATCAAATGTGGGATGCATGTTGTCAGCGTTTTGAGCCCAGAACACAAAATACAAGCCTCTGTCGACCTTGTGTCTTAAGGGAGCTTAAGCAACTACGACGACTACGACAACGTCAAAAAACAATTGGTTTTATGAGCAAAACAACTGCTCTGCACGTGCATCAAGCACTTCAGTACATTTCTTTGACGTCCACTGCACGACTACGACGTGAAACCTCCCAACGCAACGTTTTGTGAAGGGCGTGGACATACGACGACAAATTGTCCTTTCTCTATTTGAACACGGATAAAGTCGTTAAGAATTCAACTCCACGAAAACTCGCCTACATTTGACGAATTGTGCGGTTTCAAATGGATGCGATAAAGGACGCAAATCCATTTGTTCAGTGATGTTTTCACTGGCGTCGTCGTCGTTACTTGAGATCCCTGTGTGTGCTCCGTGGAGCGAAATGCGGTAAACGTCCATCCGAGATTCAAGCAGCACTTAATCTTGGTGTCACTACCCTTAGGCAAAACGAAGGATTTTGCCTCCACCACACAATAGAACACATAAAACAACAACATTAGAGGCATGGGCGCGTCGGTCAGCCAGGCATATGCTGAAGAACAAACCAGAGGTTACAGGTAAATATGAAGACACAAGTTCACGTGGCGAGGCTGACACGATACCTCGCGCGCAACACGCCAAGCTAGTTCACCGTACTGTGCCGTCATGGTATACAATTGCGTACATAAATCAATCTCGTTCCCAGGTTTCTCTGAGGAGCGGGAAGAGGGGCTAGTTACTTTTCCACGGTTCTCTTCAGTGACCTTCGATTTAATCGCCAGAAACGAGGAGCACAAGAACAACACATTTTGTGACTGTACACGAACTATTGAGTAATAGTTTATTTTGACATAAAACTTAATATGACAGCTCCGGCTTAAAGCTCTACATAGTTACTCTGATATCAAGTGTTGTAATCACTAACTGGGGAAGGGTTTGGGGCATACTTCTGAAAGTACATTTGACAGTATGCTTTCCACATTTTGGAACAGACACATGATCTACTACAGCAGTCTTGATCATGCATACATTGTTAGAACGGTATTCACTGAAGTGACGTACAACCTTCTTCTTCATAGCGCGATAAAGACAGTTTCCTTTTTAAAAAACTCCCAGGTCTTTATAACTCTTCTTTTTGTTTTGAAGTTTCTTCCCTTCCTTCTTCCTTCGCAATCAGAAGCAACAGAATAGTTTTTGCAATCAACCAAACTTGGAACAGGGAGTCCGACAATGGAGGGGGGGCAAATATTACATCAACAGTCACGTTATAATTCAGACCATCTATACTAATGTATCCTTAAGGGTGAGTTAAAAAGCCTTTCCATGTTCATAATATAAATCTAAATTATTATATGTACTTATTCACACTTAAAAAGGACAATATTCAGATTTTATAGAGATATTATGGAGTGTTTGCAAACAAAGAAAATTTGTTGTTACTTGGTTTTCGGTGAGAACGTATCGTTGAATTCATTTTAAGACAACACAAAAGCCGTCTTTCTTGCTTTCATTCCAGAACTCCACTTAAACAATTAACTACGTAATTTCGGGTACCTTTAAATTTAAGTTTATCGACTGGGCACCATAAGCCGATCTTACAAATAGCTCAGTTCTCGGTACTTAAGAAAACAAAACATCTCTCCCACTAAAATCCGAAGTTCAATCAAAGAAGTTCATACTGGCGCAAATGCATTCGCTGGATTATGTCTCGGCAGTCGTTAAACACCCGTCGAATATTCTCCGTGTCTACCGCGCACGTGAAATGTGGATAACAATAATGTTTACCATCTCCACTGGCTGTACTGATTCGCTGAAAAAAAGTAAAAATACAACCGTTAATGGATTTACATTCGGTGAACTGAACGCTCAGCTGTACTGGCAGTGATAAGGAATGTAAATAGTTTCCTGTTGGTATGAACGAACGTGAGTCTGCGTCAGACCTTATTGACGATACCTGCCATCTTGACACGCGCTTAAAAAAGAAATGTCAGGTGGTTTCAAACAAACAAGCCAACAACTGATAAAAGCTACCAGTGCAAAAAAATCGCCTGTTTCTTTTCTGTACGCAGAAGTGAACGTAGATGTTCTCACAGCAAACAATAATGACGTAAAACTTGTCGAAACTCGAACTAAAATAGTCGTCTCGTTTTGAGAGCATTAAAAAACTCTCCCGCAATTACTCGCACTTTGAAATTTTACCATTTGTTTGCCCCCTGAAATACCACGTGATATTGCTTTTATCCCACCGATCCTAAAGCGCGTGCAATGATGATACGTGGGTAAGGTTTTAAAAGTTGCATTGTATTCATCATTCAACTTTTTAATTTTACCATCATTCCTCAGAGGTTGTGCGATTCGTGGGGGATGGGGGGTACGCTCTCCCAATATTATTGGGTTTTCGTATTAGGCGGCACACATGACTTGTGTATCCTGAGTGACCTGAGGAAGGATTAAATTGCAAAGAAGATCACCCCAGTTTTAAGACGCAACTTATGAAGTTGAGGGAAGAAATCCAGCAAAAATTCAATCTTACCGGGATTCGATCTCTGGCCTTTGCGATACCGGTAGAGCGCTCTACCCAATAAACTGATGATCTCCTTTGCAATTTGTTTCTTCTTCGCGCTGTTCCAATACTTCATATTCATATAATTATTATTTAATTGAAGTGTATGCGACAGGAATTTTCTATTTGTCGTTTTTAGTTCTACAATATGTGCAAAATATGTATTTGAAATTTAAACTCGTCAATTATCTTGCAAAACCAATTTTTTTGTCCTCAAAACTCGCGAATTTGCCTTCGAGAATGTCCGCAAAATCGCGCGGCTAAAATGACAAGAATGACGTACAAAGACTCGGCGTAACTTAACGAAGTGGCAGAGACAAAGAACGAACATAATTTCCCTCTGGTACGAATTCACATGAGCCGCTATGACGTCAAATGAATAAACCACTTTACAGTTTGAGCTGCACACCCATTCCTGTCTCTTACTTTTGAATATAAATACGAATATAATCCAAAGAGTGTCAGATGTGTTAGCATATCATGAAACTAAAAAACAGGGAAGTATTGAAAATTCTAAGACGTCAGGGAAAATCTTTACTTACAAGGAATTCATCACGAATAAAATATTTAGCTCTTGTCACTGATTCCTCATCTTCTGTCGCTGGAAAAGAAAGAAAGCATCATAAATGTGAGGCCTACTTCATGCCTAAAGCACCTT